CATATCCCCAGATAGCTGGGATCTGAGTGCACAAAACTACCGAATAGCGCTCAGATCCTATTCACACAGTTCAATTGCCATGGAGCCGAAGTCTTTAACTACACGAATGGGCTCCATGGCATAGCTATCTGGGTTAATACATTCACATAAAGTCTGGTCCATAGTCCAAAGGCAAGAGGCGGGCAAGCAGCCCCCTCCAAGGACATGTGGCGAGGCCGGTTTCGCCACATTTCTCCCCTTTACCATCCAGACTAACAGGGTATCTGACCTCCTGCCGGTCAGTGCCCTGGTTAGTCCAGCAACCCACCCACGAAGCACAAACAGCAATACAGCCCACCCACAATAACTGGTTACTACACCTGGATAAAATAGCAACTTGTCCATGTCCAGGTGCCTCACCACGGCTGTGCGGGGGGCTGGTAGACTGCCTTGGTGGGTTGCTGAGTGGGCAGAGACCAGCGGTACTCTGCCCGGGTGCCAGCGCTACCACTGAAGTAGCCTGGTTGGAGCCTGGTTGTGGGAGGGGGAGACCGACTGTCTCCCCTCTGGATACACTGCTCTGTGGCTGGGGGACAGGACCGACTGTCCCTACCCCTGGTGCTGCAAGTGCAGAGACTACGGTCCCATCTGCATAGTTGTGGGGCTTAACATCTCCCCTTGGTGGGTTAGGCTGCCGCTGGAGAGAGGGTGTAACAAGCTCCTCTCTCTGAACTGTAGACTGCCGCTGGGGAGAGGGGGTAACCTGCTCCTCTCCCTGACACTCTCTTTGCTGGTGGAGAGGGGGACCAACTGTCTCCCCTTTCAATATTTTGTCCTGCGGCTGGGGTGCGAGACAGACGGTCTCTGCTTCCTGGGGTACACACTGCCACTGGGGAGGAAGGACGGCACCTTCTGCTCCCTGGGGTACACACTGCCGCTGGGGAGGAAAGACGACACCTTCAGCTCCCTGGGATACACAATGCCGCTGGGGAGGAAGGACAGCACCTTCTGCTCCCTGGGGTACACACTGCCGCTGGGGAGGAAGGACGACACCTTCAGCTCCCTGGGATACATACTGCCGCTGGGGATCTGGGCTGACTGCCCAGCATCCCTGTAGGGCCGGTAGAGAGACAGCCGTCCCATCTCTACCTGCCATCGGTGGGTCTTCCCAGGACCAGTCTATGAGGTCCCCTACTTCTGCAACTGGTAGTGAAGCAGTGGGGACCTCGGCTGCGTTTTCCCAGCTGTAGGTTGGCAGGTCTGGGTCCGCCACCCAGTTTTCCTGTTCTGCGTCTATGCTCTGCGGCTGACATGAGTTCAGTAGTTCCACATAGTCCATCTCTAGCTCTCGTTCCATGGCAGCGAAACGGCGGATGTCTTCTCCCAGTCCAATAGATCTCGGGCCCTGTAACATCTGACTTCGGTAATGAAAGATAGCCCAGTACCGTGACTCTGCTAGACTGCCAAAGTTGACGTCTTCTGTTAAGGCCTTCCACAACAGGCCAGGGCTAGTGTAGTTTTCCCCCTCCGGCTGGATGCCCTCTGCCCTCCACGTCTCTGGCTGGACAGTGCACCACCACAGTGCCCGGTATGAGGCGTCAAGGCTCAGTTCCCATTCCACGAGGTACTCAAGTTGTCTGACCTGCTGCCCTCCGGGTTGGTCTCCCAGAAGCGGCATCCGCCAGGCCATTTGTCCCTCCAACTGGTATGCGACACCAGGAAGGCGCTGCTGCCATTGATACTGGACTTCCTCCAGGGCATCGTACCATAATTCTTTCCAAGCGATATCTCTCCAGTCTAATTCACTCTCTTCCTCAGGTGTGTGTGTTGCCCAGGGGTCCACGAACCCCATTTTCCCAAATCTTTATGTAGACATGGATGCTGTATGAACACTAGCGTCGCCTTCAATTTGTAAATCCACGAACTGTGTCTCTAAGCTGCTTTACCTCGCACTAGGACGCCATCCCACCGCTTGCCACCAATGTAACGGACCGTTTTGCCCAAAAGGGGTTAAAAACCGTTTAGGCGATATTCCCCTTTTTCAGCTGCACCAACAGCTACTGCAAGCACCAATCTCCTGAACTGCAAACCCACGAATTCACCAACTCCCGAACAGCATACCAAGGGAATACTCGAAACTCCCGAACTGGAGACAAACAAATAGCTGCTAGCAGACAAACAGGAAAAGCCCCCAAGCGGCTTACACTCCTGGCAATCAGTCTCTAACAGCATACAGTAAATCCTCCCCCAATAATGAGACGACACTTCACTTTGAGGGTTAAAACAGGAACTTCCTGTACTGTCACATACAGTCTCTTTTATTCCCAATCCACAAACATAGTACAGGGCATTACAAAACAACCAATCAATCCGTACAATACACCCAGACACTCCCACACAAAATCCTCCCCTCTGCAGGTGATATGATTACTGAACACAATGGGTAATCTCATTATCACCGGCAGAGGAATACAGTTTTTACACAATATTTATAGCTTCTAAAATATACATGTCACAAACATAAAACATACATTTTCATAATCAATCCATTCAGGGGAACAACATATTAAAAAATGGCGCGAATCAGACCAGGGGTTCAAAAGTTAAGGGAAAGTCCTTTGTGACTAAATGAAGCATGGCTTTCTGGCCCAAACCAGTTTCAGAGTCTTCTATCCTGGAGATTGAATTGAGAAGTAATTCAATTATCTCCCAGGACAGACACAAGACTCCATTATGCACATGGTGAGCACAAAGCATTCAAATATTATAAAATACACAAAGTCACATTTTATACATAAAACACAGACATGTCACATATCCCCAGATAGCTGGGATCTGAGCACACAAAACTACCGAATAGCGCTCAGATCCTATTCACACAGTTCAATTGCCATGGAGCCGAAGTCTTTAACTACACGAATGGGCTCCATGGCATAGCTATCTGGGTTAATACATTCACATAAAGTCTGGTCCATAGTCCAAAGGCAAGAGGCGGGCAAGGAGCCCCCTCCAAGGACATGTGGTGAGGCCGGTTTCGCCACACTGACCCTATACCCTACTGTGGTGGACATCTCGATGAGAAGAGCAGTCTCACCGCCAGAGATGTTCTTTTCCCCCCAATGTGAGTAGAGCTGCAATAATCCTGGAAGCGATAAAGTTCAGACGAGGTTCTGTGTTGAGGGTAAAATTGGAACTGTTTAATGAAAGCCTCAGCTGGCCTTTTATGCAGCCCCCCATGCAAGGGGTTTCTGATGACATATTCCAGGGGCATTCCCAATTGGACCTTAGAGGGGACATCAGCATAAGCACACACATAATTACATTACCGCCTTCGAGTGTCCGATTTTAGTTCCATGCACTCGACGACCAAACACCGATGTCTGTGTTCGAGGCCAAGATGGCCGCAGCCACGTTTTCGCACATACGAACGGCGACTACCCAGCCGACCGCTTAGAATTTTGGTGTTATTGCGGTTACAGAGGTGTTAAGAGATTAATGGGGTCAACAAGCGGCACACTCCGCATATGAGTGGTCTGTCATTCGGTGATTTATTCGTTATTCGAACAGGGCAATGTTAACATGCAAGGTGAACGCAATTTACCAAAACAAACAGGCGAAGGGAACAAAGGGCTGTATAATCCAGGGACAGGGCTGCCTCTATACCCTGCTACAGCCCCTTACCCCCAATTGTTGCCCCTATACCCTGCTAGAGACCCTAACCCCAATTGCTGCCCCTAAAACCTACTACAGCCCTAACCCTCCAATTGCTGCCCTTATACTCTACTACAGCCCTAACCACCCAATTGCTGCCCCTATACCCTAGTACAGCCCCTAACTCAGGGCTCGACAAATCCCAGGCACCAGGTCTGACAAATGTGTATATTAACACACCAGGCAGCTACTCCAAACACCAGCTCCTAGTGAGAGAAACTGATTCCCAGAATCACTTGGGGAAGACCAGTTATGCAATTAACGAAAGGTAAATTTTTAGGTCTTAAAGGAACACTAGTGTTAGGAATACAAACATGTTTTAAAAGCAATAATTAACTCCCCACACCCCTTATTAACCCCTTAAGGACCAAACTTCTGGAATAAAAGGGAATCATGACATGTCACACATGTCATGTGTCCTTAAGGTGTTAAACTAGTAAAAGTTTGATTTAACACACTGTAACGGCCACCCTGAGTATCATAAGGGTGTATGCCGTTGGAGACGTCCTTTTCCCTTGAGAGGAGCTGTGCTGTAAGATTCTCCAGATGTCTCTCTCTAGTAGAGCTCTTACAAGAGCTAGTGAGTAGCTGTTAAGCAGGTTCCCTACAAGCACGAGAAAAGGCTACGTGTTGAGGGTTAAGCAGAACTGATTTTTAATGGGGCCAGGCTGGCCTTTTATGCGATTATTCCCAAAAGGTTACCACCCAGGTGGACCTAGTTGGGCACAGGGAAAAACAGTGTACAACCAATAAACATCAAGTCACATAATGAAACACTCCCATTCATTACACACAATTCCTCCCCTCTGTATCAACTCAATTATCTCCAAACGAAAAAAATGAAAATTTTAACCCATTTTTAGAAATACCCCAAAATCACCTCCAAATATATTTACTGATAACATTTTTTTAAAAGAGGTGAGGTTTTTATCTTGTTTTAAAACGGTCTTGAGGGATTCCCTTTTTTTGGGTTGCTGCTCTTTAGTTTGTTATCTAGCGCTGACTCTTGCCCCCTGTTCATATATTTTCTGATAGTGCATAACTAGGGGAAAAACATATTAAAAAATCATGCAAATCGGTTCAGTGGTTCAGGAGTTAGCAGGAAGTCCCATTGCTGCCCGGCCGCACACGAGGCTCCTGCCCAGAATAGTACCATGATTTCCCCTGGTGCGGTCTCTTTTGTACATTATAAAATGTCAACCAACAGTTCACATAATCGTTCGTGCGTGTGATGGTCGTGTGCCGCTTCATTCGTATACTGTTTCTACCGAATGCCGCCTTCTTCGGATTGATTATCATGAATCTAAGTGGTCCTTGAAGTCTCAGCGGTGTTCGGGAGATTAAATGTCCGAAAATAGTTCCAGACACTCGACGATCAAATCCCGCTGGACACGTTCAACAAAACAAGATGGCCGCTGCCACGTGTTCGTGCATACGAATCGACGGCCACCCAGTCAAACACTTAGAACGTTGGGGTTGCGGTTTGGCACAGAGTCAAATAAGTCAATTGACAGCACACGACTGGCTTGGGTGGTCGAACGTTCGGTAAAATGTTTGGTAAATGAACAGTTTGTTCGTTTTAATTTGAATGCCGGTTTAGGTGAAGGGTATTGTAGCAAATAGTTCAGAACAGCAACAAAATTATAAATCCAACAAAAAGAGGATATTTTTCTCTAGCATCACACGGGCCTCATGAAGGATGGCCCCCTACTCCGCTCCGCCTCCTGGGCTGATCATCAATTTTGACAATCTCAGCCAATCCAATACTTTTCCACAGGAAAGCATTGGGAGGCTATTGCGCATGCACAGCAAAGTGCTGCATCAATCAGCATCTCCTCATAGAGATGCATCACTGAGGAACATTCATGGAGATGCTAAATGTATGTGCTGCACAGTTTGCAGCACTGACCCAGGATGCACCTCTTGTGGCCATATGAGTGACTGCCACTAAGTGTGTTACTAGGCAGCAATGCAACTGCCTTTTTTCTGAGTGTTAGTTAAACAGTGTGTGTGTGAATGACTGTCAGCGTATGTATCAGTGAGGGCATGTGTCGTCTGTCGGACAAAGTGTGTGTGGTCTTGACAGGAAGGGGTGGGGCAAATTTAGATTAGGGGGTACCCCAGCTTACTCATGTCTAGGTTAGCATGAAACCAAAATATACCACTGATGATAACCACCCCTTACCCAGCCAGGGCTCCACCGTCTTATGCACAGACAAGACCTCCCATGCCATGACTCACTCACACATGTCCCTTTTCCTGGATAGCCTTCAGCCTGCCTTCTCAGGGTCTTTACAGTGTTAGACTTTACTGCTCCCACTGGAAGGCTATTCTAGGTATCTACTACCCTTTCTATATCACTGTTACTGCTTCCACTGGAAGGCTATTCCAGTTATCTACTACCCTTTCTATATCACTGTTACTGCTCCCACTGGAAGGCTATTCCAGGTATCTACTACCCTTTCCATATCACTGTTACTGTTTCCACTGGAAGGCTATTCCGGGTATCTACTACCCTTTCTATATCACTGTTGCTGCCCCAACTGGAAGGCTATTCCAGGTATCTACTACCCTTTCTATATCACTGTTACTGCTCCCACGGGAAGGCTATTCCAGGTATTTACTACCCTTTCTATATCACTGTTACTGCTCCCACTGGAAGGCTATTCTAGGTATCTACTACCCTTTCTATATCACTGTTACTGCTCCCACTGGAAGGCTATTCCAGGTATCTACTACCCTTTCTATATCACTGTTACTGCTCCCACTGGAAGGCTATTCCAGGTATCTACTACCCTTTCTATATCACTGTTACTGCTCCCACTGGAAGGCTATTCCAGGTATCTACTACCCTTTCTATATCACTGTTACTGCTCCCACTGTAAGGTTATTCCAGGTATCTACTACCCTTTCTGTATCACTGTTAGCCTTTACTGCTCCCACTGGAAGGCTATTCCTGGTATCTAATACCCTTTCTATATCAGTTACTGCTCAGACTGAAAAGCTATTCATGGTATCTACTACCCTTTCTATATCACTGTTACTGCTCCCACTGTAAGGCTATTCCGGGTATCTACTACCCTTTCTATATCACTGTTACTGCTCCCACTGGAAGGCTATTCCAGGTATCTACTATCCTTTCTATATCACTGTTACTGCTTCCACTGGAAGGCTATTCCAGGTATCTACTACCCTTTCAATATCACTGTTACTGCTCCCACTGTAAGGCTATTCCGGGTATCTACTACCCTTTCTATATCACTGTTATTGCTCCCACTGGAAGGCTATTCATGGTATCTACTACCCTTTCTATATCACTGTTACTGCTCCCACTGGAAGGCTCTTCAATGTATCTACTACCCTTTCTATATCACTCTTACTGCTCCCACTGGAAGGCTATTCCGGGTATCTACTACCCTTTCTATATCAGTGTTACTGCTCCCACTGGATGGCTATTCCAGGTATCTACTAGCGTTTCCATATCACTGTTACTGCTCCCACTGGAAGGCTATTCCATGTATCTACTTCCCTTCCTGTATCACTGTTACTGCTCCCACTGGAAGGCTATTCCAGGTATCTACCACCCTTTCTATATCTCTGTTACTACTCCTACTGGAAGGCTATTCCAGGTATCTACTACCCTTTCTATATCACTGTTACTGCTCCCACTGGAAGGCTATTCCTGGTATCTACTACCCTTTTTATATCACTGTTACTGATCCCACTGGAAGGCTATTCAAGGTATCAACTGTTACAAAAGACTGGGAATCACTATGCTGCTGTTTTAACTCACCGAGTGATACTGTTTGCCACTGCATAAGTTAAGCAGAAAACCACACGAATGGATTATGCGAACCCTTATTAAGGCTCCATTCGTGGTACGAACGGGGGACCCCCCACAAACTGGCGTGTGCCGCCACTTAACCCCGTCACCCCACAAACTACCGAACGGTCGACCACCCAGCCCCAGAGTGTGGCAGCCATTAAACCACCCAGGTGCCTGCGGTTTGCGGTTAACCACAACGTAATTGGTAGGCCTGGAGGCATCGACGTTCGCACCCAAAGTACCGAAGGAAAAATACCGAACTATCAACCGAACGACGACCCCCTACAGCGGGTCGTGTGGCGCTCGTTAACTTGTGGTTTTTGCAGTTAACCGC